GTGTGCCTTGGCAGTCTGCCCGACTGTCATGGTGTACTGGCGATGAGCCATTGAAAAATATACAACCAACATTTCTGCTGGCAAAATCAACATGACAACAATGAGAGGCCTGCTTTCTGTCCGATATATACCAATTTGCACTATTACAGAACATTTCAAGTCTTCCGACGTTGTCAGGTAATTGCATTTAGCATACATTGCTAAAATTGAAAGCTTGAAAGGTGTAGTAACAGTAATAAATGGAGATGGGGTTTAATGAAGGGTTAAACTGCACCTGAAACGACAGCCTCAAAGATGACCGCAAAGATAAAACAGGACATATTCATGAAGTTGACAGTGTTTTCATGTGTGCTTTTTTAAAGTGAGCAGGTGTGTGTTCATTCACCCCACAGAGCCATGAAGATAGAGAAGAAGACGGTGGCGGGGTTGTCGAACAGGTGGCTGGCCCGGGCCGTCCCACAGGCCGTGCTGAGCTTCCAGTAGCTGCACACTTTGTCACACAGAGGGCACATGGTGATGTTGTTCTTCGGGTGGCAGATCTCCATGCTGGAAAACAACACACAAACACACGCACACAGAAATACACGCGCACACACACAGAGGGTCAGAGGTTCGATCCCCAGTCCCTGTGTAACAATTGTAAATATGCAGTGGTGTTTAGTGTTAAATATTTCTTTGTAAATCATTTAGTCACAAATTCTGTGTTTTGTATTTAATAATTCTGTGTTCTTCATTTATTAAACGTTAAATACCTGACTAAGTCGGAAATCAGTAGTCGGAACCTCCAAAATTCAGTCACTGTACTCAGAAGATTCTTTTTTGTGGGGACTTCCTCCCCGCTTCATATTGTGTCCCTCACGTTTTCCTCTTCCCTTTTTTGTGAATGTGTTCCACGTGAGAGGAGTCAGTGTGAGGGAAAACCAATTAATAATGACTGATTTGTTGTATATCTGTTGTCAGTCAATGAATAAACGGAGATCGGCTAAACTGTATACTGACTCAGGTCTCATCCTTCAACGAAAGATACACAACGCAGACACCGCTAATCGACACCGGTTACACCTGTAGTCAACATGTCAACATGTCCTTAGGCAAGATCCTGAACTCCAAATGGCTCCCGTAAGGATGTCTACGCTATTGAAATGTATGGAGGTTGCTTTTGGTTAAAACCGTCAGCCAAATGTCATGTAATGTAATAACAAAAACAAGAAGAAAAATCCGACAGGCAGCAGGTCTGGTTTGTCTCTCTGAGCGGTTAAGTGTACGGGTGAGACATTAACACTTGTCCTGAGTGTGAGGTGTGAGTCCGCAGTGAGTGTGTGCCGGCAGCGTGTCATAATATCCTGTGGATGATGAGGAGCAGGATCAGGAAGCGCAGGAGGCCGTGTTTCCCGCCTCATTAATCAAACCATTTCCTTTATCTCCATCATTTATGTTTTCACATTTACCTTCTTCACCTCCTACACAATTACATTAGCACATTTGGTTGCCCATTAGTCCTAATATTACCTCAAATAGAAGTCATGATGAATTCAATAAGTGTCAAGATGATTTAAAATGTCAAATGTTCAAACCTTTGCAAATGTGTTTTATAAGACTCTTAAACATTATGCCTCTGACCCACTCCTATGGGAGGTTGAGAGCATTTAAAAAAGTTCCTTAACCTGATTGCATCTAAATAATCAAAACAATTCCAAATATATATCGTTTTTGAGTGGTTGTGAGTTGTGCATGCTTGTTCCTGACTCCTAAGAAGTCAAAGCCTAAATTCAGTCAGGGCAAGCTTTACATTCACTCCTCAGTGGCATCCGATTGGCTGATTAAGGGCGTCCATTCTTGCCAATCTACATTTTGCCACGATCTCCATCCGCCAATCATTGTGCTGCTGTGACACTTTGAATCTGTTCTCCTATCTACTGCAGTCAGCTTTAATTGCAGGTGTTCCTCCACCCCATACAGCACCCTTTCACGCATCTCATCATCAAATCCAGATGTTCTGCATGCTCTTCATCCCATCAACATCACCACCAGTGTTTAGACCAGGGGGGGTTCTATTCTACGCTTACGGCTGCACACACAGCACTCATAGCCCCCCATTCATTTAGCTTCACCTTCCTCCCTGTATTGTTACACAAAGTCAATATGCTCTGTTGTTTTTCACCCTGAAATAGTACGAATACTCTTGTATTTACATTTACGTCTGAGTAAATCAATAAGGTCTAAAAATGTTATCAGTGGGTTTTGGAGCCGTTGTTAGGTGTATGTGTCTGAATGTAATGTTATATTTTCTGCAGAACATTGGATCTCATGGTATTCAGATTAAGATTTTGTCACAAATAAGAGGATTGACAAGAACAAGGGATCGATTAATAAAATAAAGAAATGTCTATACGAGTCAAAATAAGTTCAATTTAAATTGAAGTGTGTGTGTGTGTGTGTGTGTGTGTGTGTGTGTGTGTGTGTGTGTGTGTGTGTGTGTGTGTGTGTGTGTGTGTGTGTGTGTGTGTGTGTGTGTGTGTGTGTGTGTGTGTGTGTGTTTACCTTGGTAAATTGTCATCGACTGTTGCACATCCATACAGAAACACAATGACTCCCACCAGAGAGGCGGGAATCAGCATCTGGGTATAGAGACCCAACCAGGCGAAGTACAGACCAATCTTCTCGCCAAAATACTTCCTAAACAACACAAAGAAAAGAAAATCATTCAGAAAATACTGCCATGATGATTTGGGGATATAGGATAGACCCTCCAGAAAAACGCGATTCTGCGATCGCAGAATTTACCGCATAATCAGCAAAATGGCGCAGATTTTTTAAAAGCCGCATATTTATCAAAAGGCCGCATAATCCCCGCATTTTTCCACACAAAGTTGAGAAGAAAAAAAAGTTAAGGCCTTTTGATAAATATGCGGCTTTTAAAAAATCTGCGCCATTTTGCTGANTTTTACAGGTGCTCAAAGCGCTTTACAATTACACATTACACATATTAGACATGTAAGAGTCATTACTGTGGACAATACCCACAGGAGCAAATACGGGTAAAGTGTATTGCCCAAGGACACAACGGCCTGACGCAGTGGCGGCCGAGGCGGGATTCGAACTGGAGTTCACCAACGCCCCTTGATCTGATGACCAACGCTCTAACCACTGCACCAAAACCGCCCAAATATATAGCTTAGCTTTTGAGCCACAGCTATTCAGGTTGAAAGATTCTTGATAGTAGTAATTGCATTTGATTTCCTTGAATCTTTGCCACAAACGAATTGCTCTAACCACCAAAAAGTCTGATAGAGGACATTCAGTTTTTTTTTCTGGTATCATGAAGATGAAGGCAACACCTGCACCCTGAGAGACAGCATCAACATCACCTCAACAGGCTGATCAGGCAACAGAGTTGTGGAGAAGGTTGTTGCCCTTCCACAATCTCTCAGAGCATGTTCAGAAGACCATACTCTGAGTGACCAGTGGAGTGAAGAATGTGAGTACAATTTCCCGACTCTGTGTATAACCCCAGCTGTGTGGGGATTGAAGAGAAGGAAAAAAAGTGGTCTTACAAATCTATTTTAAGGTTATGAACCTATGCTCTGGCAGGCATGGAGGCTTGTCAGTCAGTGGGCAGTGCCTGTACAAGCTGCCCATTGAAAAGTGGACAGTCACGGCAAGTGGAAGGTTGTGCAATGAACAATAGAAAAAGTTAGAGAGGGCCCCTGCACCGAGGGCCAGGGCAGGAGTGTATTTTTGGTTCTCAAACTGAAGCCCTGGTGCTTTTATTTGTTTAGTGTCCTTGGTTGTCAACACAGTTTGAGCTTTTAAAACGTTTTTTTCAGTCTGTGGGAGAGTTTTATTTGTTTTTGTTTATTTTCTTTCCAAAATCTGGCAAGGAGAACTCAGGTTTTGTTGAATTTTAGGCTTCAAGTGACAATTTGACAGTGATCTCACATTTCCCTCTGAGGGTCCAATAAAGGGAGTTTACAAACCTCCCTTGTTCTCTTCCCCTCTCCTGCATCTCTCCTCCCCTCTCCTCTCCTCCTCTCTGCTTTCTACTCATCTGTGTCTTCCTGAGGTCCATCCATGTTTTGTTTATATAAAATTAGATTGATTACATTGCATTTTCATGTTTCCGATGCGTTTATTCAAAGTGACTATAAAGTCTTGTAAACCAGAAAGAATGGAACGCAAAACAACAGACAACATTTAATTTTCTAAATGAATTAGCTACTTTGCTAATGCTTACTATTTTGTTGGTGTGTGTGTGGTTTAATGGTCACGGTACAAGCGTAAAAGGCAGGTTTTCAGTTTGAAAGACGTTGTGCTGGCCTGGATCAGTACTGGACCCATCCTCCTGGTCTTCTAGTGTGGATTGTAGGGGTTGTAACGGTTCACAGAATTCACGGTTCGGTATGTACCTCGGTTTGGGGGTCACGGTTCGGTACGGGTTCGGTACAACAAGAAAAAGCAAAAAAAAAGTCCCAAATTTCTTCTTCTTCTTCATTTGTTGTTTAAGGGCGGCTGGCAAACAGCTTTTAAGCACAATACCGCCCCCTGTATTATATATAGTGTAATGGATAATGCCCTCAGTGACAGACTTTTTTCCCACTCGTAAAAAAAAAGGCGTATTCGTGGTGTGACTGCATGTGCCGAACCGTGCCGTCCGAACCGTGACGGTACGGGACCGACAGGATCGACAAGCCATGGATGTGAGAAAACATCAGTTATTTCTCGTTAAGGTGGAGCTTAATGTATTGCACAGACATCCACTGATAGATTGAGACCTCCACTCCTAAAGTCAGGCCATTTTTGTCAAACTATTTGCAGTGTGGCAACTTAGATATATCTGCCTATCAGCCGTGTAAAAGTGTAAAATGATATTCTCCCTATGTATAAGATGTCCTGATGCCAGCATACAAATAGAATGTAAGGCTCTCAACAGCAGTGAGTTGAAATGGCAGACTTGAGCAAAGGCGGAGTTTGGCATTTGCGCTTGGGGGGGCAAACCATTTTTACTGACGTCAGCAGTGTTCGAAATCAGGAGGAGCTTGGCTCCCCTAAAGAGGGGGGCAGCTCCCTTGAAGGCTGACTTTGAGATAAATAGGGGCAGCCTAAAAAATGGTGCATATTTGTGTCACACAGATTAGAAATGTTGAGTTTCTGTCAATAAAAGTTCTTAGTTCTAGAAATAAATAATAGTCATTGTTCATTACAGTTTCTGAATATTTGTTTTATATTTGTGAATTTTTCTGGGTGTTGCCATCTGTACGTGGCGGCGCTGCATTCTTTAAAAAATATGACGAAACGAAAACAGCCAAGCCCCGCAGCTTTTGGATTCACAAGCAAAGAAGCGAAGGAGTCTAAAAATGACAACGTGAACGGAACAACTTTTACTTGGCCGACTGTAAGCGGCGTTAGGGTCGAGTTTGACAGCTCCACACCGAGGGAGAGGCCTGCCGATGCGGAGCCTGAAGCACTATTTGAATGTTGAAGCACTATTTGAAAAATAGGGCTCCCCCGAAAGCAAATGGGTAATTCGAACACTGGACGCCAGTACACAGTCCCAACTATTGCGTGGGGTGCTACGGATACAGTAGCAATAAAGCCAGCGCTCAACGCACTGAGTATGACTTTTCCATGCCCGCCGTACACACACACTCATATGGAAGGGGCGGTCTCTCCCCCCAACAACAGAGCATTACATAACTGTAAAACTTATCATAACTATGCACATCTTATACTTATTTGATAACTACTACTGTATATCCCTTGGTTACTTGAACACGCTACAATATTATTAACCAGTGTCCTACCTTATTAAAATATTGATATACGAAATATTTGTATTGGAACAGTTTTAGACGTAGTAATGTTGTAACATATTTCAGCCACTGGGGGGGGGGCAATGCCCCCCTGCCCCCCGCAAAATCTGCCTATGGACTTGAGGTTGTAAGTACATAGAGGTGCTTGATTTTTGATTTCCTGAAAACAGGGCATATACAAACGGCATTACAAGCAGAACATGTGTGTGTCAGAGGCTTGATTTATATTTTAGAAGGAAAACATTTGGACTACCTATTTTGTAAATGTATTATCTTTTCAATTTACACACGGCATCTATTGCACGTCTGTCCGTCCTGGGAGAGGGATCCCTCCTCTGTTGCTCTCCCTGAGGTTTCTCCCATGTTCCCCTTTAAACTGTGGGTTTTTCTCTGGAAGTTTTTCCTTGTACGATGTGAGGGTCTAAGGACAGAGGTTGTCGTATTGTCATACTGATATTCTGTACAAACTGTTAAGTCCACTGAGACAAATGTAACATTTGTGATATTGGGCTATATAAATAAACATTGATTGATTGAATACAGTAGCAAGAGGTGTCAAAATCGATGAGTCCTCCTCTTTTGCTCTCCCTGAGGTTTCTGCCATTTTTAACTGTGGGGTTTCTTTTGAGTTTTTCCTTGTCCGATGTGAGGGTCTAAGGACAGAGGGTATGGACATGTTCATATTCCGCACAAATTGTAAAGTCCCCTGAGACAAATGACAAATGTTTGAAATTGGGCTATATAATAGACTTTGATTGATTGATTGAATGATCTCCATTGACCTGAGTTCCTCTCATCCCCTTAAATAAGCGAAAATATACAAATACACAACATCGGAAATATTAATATACATTGACCCTAATATGCTGTTAATAGTAAAATGAACTACTAATTCTCAGCTCGTGGAGTAGTTTTTCTGTCGCAACTGATGTTAAATATGAGTTTGTCTTTAAGCAGAGTGAAGTCCAGTCCTGGTCCAGATTGCTCTTTGGGTTGTCCCCCTTGTACATGCATTCAAATACTCTGCCATGGTCCTTTCTAAGATTAGTTTTACATGCAACGTTCAATTCTTCTTTCCGAGTGTGCTTTTTGAATTCTGACCACAGTAAAACATGAATATATTTTTTGTATTTCAGACCAAGATTGCAGGGGTTGGCTTTGTGAAGATTCATGCTCCCTGGAACATCCTCTGTCGAGAGGCCGAGCTGATGAAGCTGAAGATGCCCACCAAGAAGGTAAGACTCTGTTGAGGCTGTAAAGTTACCCCTATTACACTCTCTGTTGACCGCACTCTACAATGCATTTGTTCCCTTAATCCAACCACACAAAGGCTGTTCTCTGGTGTCAAAGTCTTGTCCTTTATAGTCAGGGTCCGGCTCTTTTAAAGCCCACTATCCACATACAGGAAAATAAAATGCAGTGTAACAGTTTTCCTGACCATATCTGTTACACTCTGTTACAGTCTTGAAAGTGGGCTTTGTAGAAAGACATCACAGTGTCTGTAAAAAGTTGGCATTTATTCTTACCTTTGTACAGTTTTTAGGAAGTGATGTCCTTGTTCTGGTTTTTACACCTGCATTGACTGTTAAGCAATATATTGTAAAAAAAGATGGGAGAAAAAGATAAATATAGTATTACAACATACTTGGATTTTTGGAGGATTGTTTCGTAACAGGTGGTAAAAGTAATTGCAAAAATGTATAACTATAACTAATAACTGTCTAATAAGACATCTGCCTGTCCATCCTCAGAGACATTCATCTTCATTGAGGCTACTACATATCAGATATCTATAGTTACAGTATACAGTTATACAGAGCATTCTCCATTTGTTTATGCAAGTGCAAATCATGAATATTGAGTATATTACTGACAGTAAAACTGTATTTGGTATATGCTTCCCTTCATATTGATTACATGTGAGTAAGGCAAGGCAAGTTTATTTATGTTATACATTTTAACAACAAGGCAATTCAAAGTGCTTTACAATTAAATTATTAAAAACATTAAGACTTGGTGTAAAATAAAAAAAACATTTAATCACATTTAAACTGAGAATACACATGAAAACAAGCTAAAATACAACAAGACAGGTACAAAATTACAATAATAAAAGTTGCCTGAACTGCAGTTTTCTGGGATTCAATCCAGATTTATGGACCATAATAACTGAACGCTGCTTCTCCATGTTTAGTTCTGACTCTGGGGACAGAAAGCAGACCCCTCCCAGAAGACCTGAGAGTTTGAATGTAGCAAAAGATCAGAAAAAAAATATTCAGTGATTTATAAACCAACAGCAGTATTCTTTGACACACAAGAAGCCAGTGTAAAGACTTCAGAACAGGAGTGATGTGATCCACTTTCTTAGTGTTAGTGAGGACTCGAGCAGCAGCGTTCTGAATCAGCTGCAGCTGTCTGATGGATCTTTTACTGAGACCTGTGACGACACCATTACAGTGGTTGAATCCTTGAATCTAGATATAGCTTAAGGCGATAGTAGGCTGAATTGTTTTAATGTGGCTGTGAAATTCATGTCAGAGTCCATGACTACACCTAGATTTTTGGCCTTTTCAGTTGTTTTTAACCTTTCCGATTAAAGCATAGTGGAGATATAGGGATAAGCTCTGTCTGGGCAATAGTTCTGTATTTATCACGAGGCTCACACCGGTGTGTCGGTCAGAACATCTCTAAAGGACAAATATCCAAAGCTGAGAGATGATTGATATTCCTTTACTGACTTCTCTTTGTCAATAAGTGAAAGTCAGCAGTGATACAGATCCTATGTGTGCGTGGTTTTCTTTATGCACACATCACTTGAAATGAAACTTAATGCACTGCTGCCCAACTTTCGTCTGTCACTTAACCTTTTTACTGCCTGAGACCCAATACTTTTGACGTGTGACTCCCCCTTAGATAACCACCGATGAACCGAAACAACAGATACTAACACTATATAATAACAGAAATCCAGAACATCTTATAGCTTTTGGGCCTTCTCTACAGAAGATGAGCACTGACTTTTAAACAATGCCTTTTTGTTCCAAACACTATTGTCTGAGTTTTATCTTTGTTTATTTGATGGAAGTCCTGACACATTTAACCATGGATTTGTTCGATGCATTTACTCAGTGTTTGTACTGGACAGCAAGTCACCTGGTGAAATGGTTATTTAAATGTGTGTGTCGTCTACATAGCTACGGAAACGTATTGATTTGTATTATCCGACCCAGTGGAAGCATGTGAGTATACATTTTCATATTTATAATACAATCATTTCAGTTAGGCATATACAGTTCGGGGGTTGTTGTTTTTTTCTTCATCACTTTACATTTAGTTAATGCAACACTTCCAACAAGCTTTTATTGGTGAGCTGAGAACTCTATATGCAGTTTACGAATTCCCAGTACATATTGTGCTCTAAATGTAATAGGGAAAACATAGATAAAACCATGTTTAGCATTAAACAAGCATACAGTTAAACCCACGCTGCTCCAACAAACAATAAGTGAAACATTGTCATGGTATTTCAGGATGGCTTAACTTGAAATGGATTGTGGATGTCTTTCATGTCTGTTCTTGTGTTAAATGCACTTCACTCACAAAGTAATCTTGATGAACTGTGTGTGTTCTAGGTGTATGAGGTGAAGCAGTTGAGTGGTGTTGTGGAGAAGATCTGCTCCCTGGCTTGTAAACTCGTGGAACCTCTCCACCCTCATGTTGAGGAACATCAACCACAGAACATCAAACACCTTTCACACACGTTCTCCAGAGAGAAACAACACCTGTAAGTGTTTTCATATGTGTTACCTTTTTAGCTTAATATGGGTGTACATGCTACACAACCACAAAGAGGAAACCCTTTATGAGAAGTAGAGCAATTATTTTTAACCAGAGAAGTGTTTCAATATGGTGGCTAACTGTTAGCATGGCCATAGCTGCTGGCCACAAAAGACAGCTTAATAAACACTTTATATCACAAATACATACAAAAAATGTTTTAAATGTTTTTGATATCACTTCTATTAAAGTTTAAGGTGAAAACGTCGATTTCCTTTAAGCAGTATCTAAGAACGGTGTTTTTTTGTTTCATTTACAGGTTTGACCTCTCAGACAAAGATAACTTCTTTGACAGCAAAACCAGGAGTTCTATAGTAAGTCCACGGAAGTTTGTCTGGGATGTTTCTTACAATAACGAACATGTTACTTTTGTTATGAATTCTTCTGACAGATTGTGCAAGGATCGTATGCATGCCATAACGTGTAAAAATAAAGGAATTTATGTAAATACTACCTTCTCTCTGACCCACATAGGTCAATTTGGTTGTGGTCATTATTGCTTTTGCAGATTATGAAAATCAGAATCAGCATAGGTTTCTGGGGGACAGTTACTCCCGTTCAGAATGAAACAGATAAAAGATAAATCATTAAACAAATATGCACTGTATTATATAGATGGAAAATTAACATAAGAATGTGCAAATAATGATAGTCAAATGAAGATATTTATGTAAAATAAGAAATGTAAGTAAAATGTCCAATAAAATGAAATAGCCTAAAATAATAATATAAACATAGGAAACTTTAAGTAAAAATGTGCACATTGTACTAGTCTACAATATATAAAATGTGTATTACAATATATACAAGAGTTATAAAGAGTTTAACTGTCCTAGTGCCTTGTCATGTTCCGTCATTGTGTTTTCATTTTATTCCAGGTTTTTGAAATATTAAAAAGAACCAAATGCAAGGCCAAGTACAGCATGGGTGAGTCTCTCAACAGTTCACTTCTCTGTCTTGTTTTCCAGTGGAGTTTAGAGGTGAGTCAATCTTACTTTAGTAAGTTTAGGGTGGGTTACGTTGGAGTTATTGAAAATAGATCATTTAATTGAGGAATTTATTTGAACAGATGCAATTCTGCCCATAAGGAATATTAATAGGTTCATCCAGTGCTGAAGTTGTCATTTCTTCCTTTTGAGATGGAAGTAAATCTGATTCCATCTGATTATACAATTAAAAGCCATTGAATTTCTAGTACCAAATAATTATACATTTTTTGTATACAATTTATGTATACAATTCAGATTAAAAAGATGGACCAGATTTACTTCCATGCATATCCAAGGTTTTATTCTGCATGTGTTAAAGCACGTGTGTCTTCACACAGTGAGAACCACAGTTTGACCCGGATGCAGTGACTTTTTATTTTTGTATTTACATTGATGAGAGCGATGAGAGCGATGAGAGCGATGAGAGCGATGAGAGCTTTCTCAGCAAAGACCATGATGGGAAAGATAAAGATGTTTGAGCTCCAGGTGGAACTGGGGTTTTCGCGATTTTCTATGAAATGTTATGAAAGAAGGCGAGCTTTGATTTGTGCTGCAGTCGTGTCTCTCTGCCAAGTCTCAGCAAGATGTTATGACAAAAAAATCTTATCCGACACAGTGACCATGTAACAGCAAATATTGTGCTGTCCGAACCCGGCATAAAGCTCTGAGTTCAAATCACTTATCCTGGTCTTTCGATGACTTACATTTTCTCCTCCATCTTCATAAACTGAAAATGAAATGGCCAGTAAGCCTCCATAAAGATGTGGAACCCACCCTAACACCTGCCTCTTGTTTGCAGGTATCACCAGTCTCCTGGGGAGTGGTATCTATACTGCAGCTTACCCTCTTCATGATGTGAGTAGTACTAATCCTGACCAATAGGTTATTAAAAGAAGAGTCCCAGGTCACAGTCTCTGGTTAGTATGCACAGCATCAGTGTTTCTCTTTTCTTTACAGGGAGACATTAATGAGGAGAGCGCAGTACACAATGACAGAAGGGTGAGGAAGTGAGCAGGTCCTGGTTGACTGTTGTTCACACATTGCATTTGTAAAGCTCTGCACACGTGCATGCATGGTAATTAGGTCCATAAATCTGTGACCTAGCTATCTCTAAACTTTACAAATACTTGCAACACTCACAAGGTCAATAGTAAACCTGCATGCTCAAGTCTCTTTTTTTTTTGCTGACGTTTTTACAGTAGATCATACGTGTTTCAAACTTTCAAATATTTAGTTTGTTAAGTTTTTGTTGTTGTTTTGAATGTATATTTTTATATAGTTTACAAGCATTTAGCCTACTATCTTGCTTCTGAGAACACTCACTTGAGTACCAAATGTGTTTTCACCGTATTAATCCGCTGCTTAAAATAGTCCCCCACCAAATGCATTTACTTCATATTTATAATTACATAGAAAAAAATCATTAGACTCAACTGTACAATTTAATGTTGTTAAAAACAGGTTTCATCTATTACCTCCACCTTTACCCGTGACGATGGAGGCTCTTCTAGCTCATTTTGTTGCCTGAAATGTACATCAATGGGCTAAGCTAACTAGCATGGTGACAGTTCACTGTGAAGTAAACAGCAATTGCGTTGTATTAAATTAGAAGTAGAATTAGAAAGATTAAATGCATGATTAAAACTGTATCAAATAATGCAACAAAACACTGTTGATTTTCTTCCTCAGCTTTTGTATGAAGAGTGGGCAAACTACAGTGTGTTCTTCAAGTACCAGCCCATCGGACTTGTGCGGTAAGGACACTTAGCGTTTAGTAATATCATTTAGTTCCAACATTCCCGTATGGTAACAACTCTTCTATCAAAATCCCCTTCCTGTTCTTCAGCTTGGGCTTTTATTTTGAAGGACTCAGGATTCAGGCTCATAGATTTGTACTTTACATCATACACTATATTACATAGCCAGGATTATAAATAACAGTGTAATCCTTTATACTGCCAGAGGATTGATCCAAGTTCAGAACTGTTATAATCCTGCACAGGGATTTAAATAAGAAGGTCAAAGCACCTCGGAAATTGAAAACATCAAAGAGTGTTGAATTTGTTGCACATCTTTTGTTATTGTGGTAATGATTTATGGGTTTAGTGATTTATTTATTTGAAAAAAGAGAGGTATTATTAAGTGGTTCTCAGAAATACCTTCTGCATCAAAAGAACTGACTGGTTTGAGGTTGTGTCACAGCTTTGCGTATCTCCAGTTGGACTTCCTATATCAGAGTTTATCGTCTCATTAGTACAACAACACAGCCCAATAAAGCCCCCGGCTGTTTGAGTGCAGGGCTGTTTTTGTCACGAATCCCTGCTTACCAGTGGCGTGTGATGAGGTCAGTGGATGTGAAGGCACAAGCCCATATCAGAGCCAGATTTACACACATATTTATTAGAGTATACTGGTGGCCCTCCCCCCCCCCCCATGTCCCTGCCTTGCATTGTATTACTATGGAATGTGCTAACCCTGGTCAAGTACGTAAGTACAGTTCAGGTTCCTATTAGACCCTCCAGAAAAACGCGGGCAAAAATCCTTGATTATGCGGGCTAAATTCCTTGATTATGCGGGCTAAAATCCTTGATTATGCGATTAAACATGCAGGGTTTTATGTGATTTTATGCGGTGAAATTGCGGGAAGTTAGGAAATATGCGGAAAGTTGCGAAATATGCTAAATATGCGGGGGAAAAGAATAACAATTTTTTTAAAT